GCCATAACCGCCGCCGCCATCCCCGCCGCCGCCATCCCCGCCGCCGCCCTTAGCACCACCTCCCTCTTTACCGCCGCCTTCTCGGCCGCCGCCATCGCCATCCCCCCCCTCGCTACCACCCTCAGTGCCACTACCATTGCCGCCACGTCCATCACCGCCGCCGCCATTGCCACCGCCACCCTTGGCACCTTCGCCTTTGCGGCCATCTCCCACCGCACCACCACCGCAGCCAAGCTTTCCGCCGCCGTCGCCCATACCCCCGTCTGCACCGTTGCCCTCGCCGCCACCGCCCTTGCCGCCGCCGCTCGCACCGCCACCTTCCTCTCCGCCACCGCCTCCCATTTCCCCGCGACCGATCTCACCACCACCGTACTTGCCCCCGCCATCCCCGCCACCGCCGTCTCTGCCTCTGCCGTCGCCGTCTCCGCCGCCACCATCGCCGCCACCACTGCTTCCGTCGCCATCCCCACCGCCACCAGCATCACCGCCATCTACGCCGCTGCCGTCGCTTCCACCGCCGTCTCCATGGCCACCGACACCCCCATCACGGCCACCTCCTCCGCGATTGCCGCCGCCATCGGCACCATCGCCATCGCCTCCGCTTCCGTTGCAGTCGCCTTCACTGCCACCTGCTTCGCCACCCCTGCCGTCACGTCCGCCGCCATCATCTCCACCAGCCACGCCACCACCGCCGATCGCACCGTCACCTCTGACCCCCTTGCCATCACCTCCACCACCGTCCCCCCCGCCGCCAAGGCCATCACCCCCGCCTCCTAGATTTCCACCCAACGTGCCATGGGGCGATCCAGCAATGCCACCGCCACCTCCACTTTTGCCGCCTTCGCCATCCTCCCCACCACTATCGCCGACGCCGGTCAAACCATATCCAACGCCGCCGCCGCCACGACCACCGCCGCCGTCGCCTCCGCCACTTGTGGCGGTGGTACGAGAGGCGTTCGACTCCATTGTCGGCTTGCGCGAGCTCGGGAACAGTTCGGACGTGAGCACCGTGGAACTCCAAAGAATAACAGAAGCGGCCAGCAGGGTGCTTGACGAAGACGTGGGCAATACTCTAGCGGTGCAAAGCGGAGAAGCGGCTGACAGCTCCAAGCTTCTCGCCGGAGAGGAGGCCCGGAGCAACATCGAGCTCATCGCCGACGCTGTCCGCCGCGCCGCGTCCGACACCGCAGAGGGTCTCGAAGTTAAGTCCTGACAGAGTCCTGACAGAGTCCTGACAGAGTCCTGACAGAGTCCTGGCGGGGTCCTGACGGCGCACGGTCTTCACAGTGCTCACAAGTGCCTCCGAAGAGACTTCCACCTTCCTTCACTGCAACCCTCCTTCCCCTCCCCCCCAGCAGTGAATGATAGACGCCCAGCCCCCCTTTCGACCGTGCGCGCCCTCTGCGGAATCGTCCTGATGGGGCAGTCCTGACGCAAACTTGAGAGTCCTGACAAGCAAACTTGAGAGTCCTGACAGAAACTTGAGAGTCCTGACAGAAACTTAGAGTCCTGACAGACAAAAGAAATCACCGTGGGTCTCGCGCGCCACTCGGCTCGACCACATGAAAAGCGCACAAGCAAGAGAGGCGCGGCCATGGTGCAGGCAACGTTACAGCCGGCAACGTGCATAGGCAGCAAAGCTCGGCCACGACGTCCATGGCCCGCGCGCCCCCGATTTGCCACCGGCAACCTGCAGGCCAGCGCCGAGCAGCGGACTGCTGACCGAGGCAGCGCCCACGGCAGCGCCCACAGCAGCACCCACGGCAGCACCCACGGCAGCGCACACGGCTTGGCTGGCCATGTCAGCCGCGCAGGCACCCTCCCGCGGGTCCAACCCGAAGCGCTCGACCGCTCGACAGCGCAAGTCGGCTGACGGAGCGAGCCGCATAGCCCTCCAGTGCTCACCGCAGGATCAGGCCTGACCGGCCCACGCTCACGGCCTGGCCTGCCTGTGGACCAGCAAACTCGTTGGCTGTACGCGAGGAAAGAGCTGCGTGGCTGGGTCGATACCGTCCCCGTGCGCCCTTTCCCTCAGTGGAGGGCCGTCCCTGCCCTCGGGAGTAACTCGACTGTACACCCCTCCCTACTCTCTAGCTAAGGGCTCTATTCACAGCGGGGGGACAGTGGTTGTCCTGGCGGAGTCCTGACGGAGTCCTGACAGAGTCCTGACGGAGTCCTGACAGAGTCCTGACAGAGTCCTGACAGAGTCCTGACGGAGTCCTGACCGAGTCCTGACGGAGTCCTGACAGAGTCCTGACGGCCTATTTTGGAGTTTTTCAACTTTGAGGTATTGTAACTATGTGAAGGCACTATGAATGCATCAGTTCTTTGGGAGAGTGCAATCCATTTAGTTATTACCTCCAACTCAAAAAAAGTCTGGTGGCAAACGGGCAATGGGGTCCCTTATGGTGGCCTCTAAGGGTAAGTTGCGGGAGCTCCACAAACCAGGTTTTGTATGTACGCGACACATCGATACGAGATAGTGTCAGACTTCCCGCTGGTGATCAGTCAGACCGCTCGAATCCTGTGTATAGTGCTGCTGCGGCCGCACTCATGAATACTGTCTCATGAATAAGGTAAGGTAAGGTAAGGTAAACTTCTCCACATGACAAAGTCGGATGCCGGCCAGCGATTGGGTTGCCGCCGGGGTGTCGCGCTCGCGCTGACCTGCTTCGGTGTTGCCGCAGGCATTCGTGCGTACAAACCCTTCCAGCCTCAAGGGGGGGGGAAGGAGATGGCAGAGGCAACGTCAAGGGAAACGAAGGCGGATGAAGGCCCAGACAAGATGAACGGCAGCGGCAGCAATCTCACACCATGTTCCCGCTGCGCCACGGAATACAGTGACTGCGGAGCCAACCCGTGTGAGGACGCCGCCGGCTGCGGTGTTTGCGGCAGCTCTCCATCTGACCCTGGAGCTTGCGAGCCCGATCCAGTGTCGCTCCTCTATCCATGCGAGATGGATGAGGTGATGGGGCTTCCAGATTGTGAGATGTGCGCCGAGAAATTTGGTGAGGGCCCTGGCGATTGCGGCGGAGCACCGTGCGACGATGCTTGCGCCTGTGGCGTCTGTGGCTCATACGGAAGTTGTGGCAGCTCCTGCAAAGCCGATCCTGCAAAAGGGCGGCACGGATGCAATCGAAGAGACGTTGTCGAGGAGAACGCGCCAGGCGTCGGCACCTGGTCCGGCACCTGCACGTGCACCGCGAGTGGCAATACCTACTGGGTCGGCGACATTGACGGGGATAGCCTCGCCTGCTACAACGGGATTGCTGGACCCGTCCTTCACGGCAACAACCAGGGCTCGGGCGTGCGCGTGGCTTGTGCCAGCGCCTGGCCTAGGCCGCCGCCAACGCCGCCCAGGCCGCCGCCGCCGCCGCCGCCAAGCCACCCCATCGCACCCGCAGGACCACCGCCACCGCAGTATCCTCCCGGAGAGAGCGACCTTGTGGAAGAGGGATTGAAGGTAGTAGGAACTTGGTCCGGCACGTGTACCTGCCCGAACGGCGCTGTGTACTGGGTGGGCGACCATTTCCACGGGGGGGAAGAGCTGGCGTGCATCAACGGTGTCGCAGGTCTTGTCGACCCGGCCAGCAGACGTGGCGCGGGTAGGCGAGTCACCTGTCACATCAGACCGCCGCCACCATCGTACCCCCCGCTGCCGCCGCAGCCGCCCGCTCCTCCTCCTCCGCCGCAGTACCCGCCAGACATATTCGACTTGGTGGAGGAGAATGTGCCTGACGTTGGGACGTGGTCTGGGACTTGCAGCTGCCCGAATGGCGCGGTGTATTGGGTGGGCGACTACTTCGACGAGAGTACACTTGCATGCTACAACGGCATCGCGGGCGAGGTGGTGGAGGGGGAGACACGCGGCGCGGGAAGGCGCGTGACGTGCCACATACCCAACGGCGGCAACCCCTCAGGGGACTCAAGTGGCGAGGAGGACGAGTCGTACTCGGTCGCATTCTCTTTCAAGACGGCCGACGAGTGCGACGACACCTTCACCGTGACAGTGTGCGCCTCCGCCAACAGCCTCCCTGCCCCCCTTCCGAGCCGATGCGACGTCTCCTGCATCGGCGCCGCCCGGCGCCGGCTTGAGGAGCACACCGTCTCGGTCACCCTGCAAGCCGGTGACGAGTCGTCGGCGATCTCGATCGCCGCGGCTCTTGCCAATGCCCTGGGCGAGACGGCGCCGGAAGCGGCCGCCTTCCTCGGCGTGTCTGTGAGCGAGTCGCCGGCGGAGACGGGAGGTCTCCCCTCTATCTCGCACCGGCCAACGGCTCCACCGGATGGCCCGGCGAAGCCGCTCGGCGGGGCGAAGACAAGCACGGGACAGACAGACCCTTTCGGGCTCGGGATGGACATAACGCTGCTCGTAGTGTCCATCGTCCTGCTCGTGATAAGCGTGCTGCTGGCGGTTCTGATCGTGCGACAGAGGCAGAGCCAGCGGCAGGCGCCGGGCGGCCCTCCGACAACAGATACGGCCCACACGGATAGGCTGACCCGCACGCTTACTAACAAGGGACCCATGCGCATCATGGATGATGAAGAGCCGGCAGCGGCGGAGGTGTACCGGGCGTCCCTGTGAGACTTTGGCCACACTAAATCGAAGTCTGAATCCTTAATCCTCAGATTTTAGATAAGGACGCTGCGGCGTGGCGCCGTCGGCCTCGCCTCTCGTTGCCGACAATGCTGTTGGTGTTGCATATACTATTCGAGGGAGATTACTGATTAGACGTTAGTAGCCTTTCGGCAGCGCCCGCAGCGATGGGGTTCGAAATCACAACATGGACGTGGATGTATGAGGGAGGGTTCATGAACTCAATGCATGCGCGCGGGCGCAGCCATTGTTTTGGACGACACCGACGAGCCGGTTCGCGCAATTGCACAGCGGTCACAGAAGCGCGGAGCCCGGGGGCCCCGTGCGTTAGCGGTGGTCCTCACCCGGCCGCCCCCCGCTCCGCCGCGGCGCTAATGGCAGGCGGCATCTCCTCCGCCATCGAGCACCAGAGATGCGAGATCCTGTCGCGGCTGACGTGCACCTGCGGAGGTCACGCGAGATCACGCGAGATCACCCGAGATCTCCGAGATGCGGGGAGCGAGTCTCGCGGCGAACGGAGAGAGGGAGAGGGTGGGAGAGGGAGAGGGAGAGGGAGAGGGAGAGGGAGAGGGAGAGGGAGAGGGAGAGGGAGAGGGAGAGGGAGAGGGAGAGGGAGAGGGAGAGGGAGAGGGAGAGGGTGGGAGAGGGAGAGGGAGAGGGAGAGGGAGAGGGAGAGGGAGAGGGAGAGAGAGAGAGGAGAGAGAGAGGGAGGCACCAGCCGCAAGCCGCTCGTCCGCCTCTCCAACGCAGCGCCCCCTATCCCGCTCAGCTCGAGCGGGTCGGAGCCCTAAGTCAGCCAGACAGTGTGACGCATAGTGTGACGCACGTCCCCAGCACGGAGCCCTAAGTCAGTGCTACACCCGTCCTAGCACGGGGGAGACGGGGGGGGCACACGCACTCGCGCGGAGCACACACGGGGGCGCTGCACGCGAGGCGGGGGCGGTGTCTGCGGCATCGTGCGCGGGACACTGCGGGGAGAAGGCCGCAGGGTTCGGACTTGGGCGTGTAGGGTGCTACTGGCCTCCCGGTAGGCGTGCCTCGTGCGTGGCGCTGAGCAGGTTGGTGCCGACGGCGGCGGTGGTGACAACCTGCGGTAGGGTACGGGTGGGGTGAAAGAGTGAGAGAGAAGACCAGAGGCCAGAGAGCAGCAGCAGGCAGCAGCATCCCGCACACGGCCATCACCACCCCGGTCCACCGCGGCCCCTCTCGCCGCGGCCGCAGCGACGCCTTCTCCATTCGCCACAGAGGGGCGGGGCAAAGGGCCAGGCTCTTCCCTCGCATCTCCCCACCAGTTGGGGGCAGGAGCCCCACGGCATTCAAAGTGCAAGGCCCGGTGACAGCCTCGAGGCCCATCCCACCCTGACTCGATTCACTAAGTAGCAGCTAAGGAAGAGGGGCCCACCCCACCCTGACTCGATTCACTAAGTAGCAGCTAAGGAGGAGGGGCCCACCCCACCCTGACTCGATTCACTAAGCAGCAGCTAAGGAGGAGGGGCCCACCCCACCCTGACTCGATTCACTAAGCAGCAGCTAAGGAAGAGGGGCCCACCCCACCCTGACTCGATTCACCAAGTAGCAGCTAAGGAGGAGGGGCCCACCCCACCCTGACTCGATTCACTAAGCAGCAGCTAAGGAGCTACTCAGCCAACCTCGAGCGGCCCGTCCCACCCGCCGGCGTTCCGGTGGTAGTGCCCGCAGAACCAGGCGTGCACATTCGCGCGTGACGCGTGCAGCTGGTCGAGCACCTACGTGCTGAATAGACAGAGGTGGCGCACTTCGAATACACGTAGTATGCATGAATACGTGCTGAATAGACGTGTACCCTAAGTTTCTCCGAGACCTCGCGAGCGGGCAGTCATTCACACCTCAGCAGTGTGGTTTGGGCAGGGGTGGGCAGTGTGGGTTTCACACCCGGGGCAGGTAGGGGATCGGGCTGAATGTACAGAGGTAGGGCACTTCGAATACACGTAGTATGCATGAATACGTGGCCCAATGTGAATACACGGAGTACAAACACAGGCTGAAGACAGTGAGCTCAGCGTGAGCACAACATGCGTCACACACGAATCCAGACACTCTTGTGGAATACAGTGACTAATACGTGTTCATGATGTAGGATCGAGCACACCCTCCGACGAACGCCCGCCGGCCAGTTGAAGTAGCCTGACCGATGTGCCGGCCGGGCGTCAGTTGCGAGTATGCCTCGGAGTAAGCTCGGCTACTCGGGAGGTCGGTGCTAGAGGAGACTAGCCGGTCCTACGTGCTCCACACGCCAGCCTCGGGGCGGGAATGCGGTGAGATGTGCGGCGTATCAGTAGTGCCTCGCCGACCAGTGTGCGTGGCGTGGCCTGCTCAGTGCAACTCGCTGCGGGTCAGTCGACTCGTTCCCCGCCCGGCTCACAGCATTGCAGCGTGAGCAGGCTCCTCAGGGCGGGAGTGCGGTGATGTGCGGGTGCACTTCAGAGCACCGCGTGGGTACAGCGGCTACAAGTTCGTCGCATACAGCGGAGTGCGGCGGAGTGCGGCGGCGTGCGTGTCCTCTCGAGCGCTGGTAGGGAGGCGAGAACACGCACCCCGCTTCTAGCGCGTCGAGGTATGGGGGCGTAGAGCGAGATACGGGGAGATAGCTTCTAGGCCTCGAGGTATGGGGGCGTGGAGGGAGATACGGGCAGAGAGTCCGCTTCTAGGGGCGGGGGGGGGGGGGGGACCCGTCGGCTCGGAGGGGTCGTGCAGGAAGGGCGGGATGTGCCCAAACAGCAGCGTGTGCACCTGCCCGGGCGGGAGATTGGCGGGAGATTGGCGGGAGATTGGCGGGGGATTTGCGGGAGATTGGATGGAGATTGGCGGGAGATTGGCGCGAGATTGGCGGGGGATTTGGCGGGGGATGTGGCGGGCTGTGGCCAAAGAGCAGCGCGCGCACCGTTTAGGGGTCGCCGGAGGCGGCGGCGGCGCGCAGCGTCGCGTCCAGCCACGCCT